ATTATTGACTCAATTTGAGTTAAAATAGGGTCCAACATACATCGGGTAAAATGTTATGCTGTAAAAACATGAGAGAGAACATGCTAACATGTAACTAAACAAACCAAGCTAAAATCATTGAAACAATAACTTGCAGCAACAACCCTGTGTACAGCGATATGGCCCAATATGATCCTCCTAGTGACAATCATATTATATATAACTATATATAAATGCAGATATTTTAATTCTGTTTGTCTCCAAAAGGTCAAACTATATCCACGTACACTCTGGTTGTACTTAATGTTCCTAATGAATCTGTGTGCGTGTCCTTCTTGTACACAGCGTGCACAGTATCCACAGACACACGATGACAGTTTGTAGATGGAACTTCATTAACCTCAATGACCTTAATTACAACCATTAAACACATGAGACCTCCATGAGAACCTGTAGGGCCCAAAGGAGTCATTAGAGAACAAGCCCTGCAGATATTCTACTATCTGGTCCTTTGTACTTCAGTCCAACAATACTATCCAACAAGTACTTCTTGTTCTTTGATGCAGATCCCACCAGCGGAGCCTTGCTATGCTACCGTGAGCTCCTCCAGAAACCAGGAGGATCTTCTTCTCTACTCCAACGTCAGTCCAGCTCGCCCCCCCAGACGCAAGGAGGAGGTGGAGGAAGTTCTGTACTCACGTGTCAACTTTGAGAGTTCTGGTGCTGCCAGCGAGTGAGTCAGTGACAATCTTTACTGAATATGGATCCGTCTCTGCTTTTATCATCACTGTTTTATTGCTGTTTAAACGTGTTAATTATCAATATTCTGAGTTTACGGTTCTTTCACAGACGGAGATGTGAAGGAGCTGTGGATGATTCTTCTGCTCTGTACAGCACCGTCAGCAAAGCACCAAGAGAATGAACCCACACAGATATGTGGTCTGTTACTGTACAGAGTTTAAGCAGCTTAAACACACCTGCATGAATATGAGGTTTGACATGTTGTATATTCACCATCGTTAAGGCTTCCATCAGAGAAGCATCAGGGAGCCAATGGGAGGCCAGCTTGTAGTCTGTAATCAGCCTTTAAATGTTACTAATCAGCAATATGTTACTACCAGTTCTATACAAGCATCTTCAGGTACATTTATCTGCAAATAGTCTTTACCAATATTGCCATTATGCTTCTAATGATTCTAATAATATTTTACTGAAGTTTTTGTTTTGTATGAGAACTTGTCTCAACTTAAAATGGCTGAATTGGACTTTCAGAGTGTTTTAAGCACCTAGTGGTAGAAATGATAATGTAGAAATGTTTAGGGTAGAATTGTAGTTTGTGTGTTAGATATTAGTTATTACATTAGCGTGTTAGATGAAGTGACTGCAATATGAATCAAACCCAATTCATAGTAATTATAGTCATATAATAGAGGATGTCACACGTGTACAGACTTTAAAGCCCTCTGAGGCACATTTGTAATTTGTGATTTTGGGCTTTTTAAAATGAAATGAATTGAATTCTCCTGTGGTTTTGGAGCAGATGTGTAACAGATGTGTTGTGGGAGAAGATTGTAGATGATCAAGTAAACCTCAAAGTGGTGATTACCACTGGTAGTAAAGCTCATTTGCAAAGGAAGTGGCTTAACCTGAATTATAGTTATTTTTGAGCGGTGTTTTAAAATGACTCTACTTCTCTCTTGATTTATTCCCTCAGTAAACATTGTAAACATGAGTTTATGGTCTCAGTCTCTAGTTTCAAGTCTTCAATACAACATGATGTTCATTTAGTAAATTATGGTCCATTTAGAGTCAACTAAACACATATTTATTCCGTTTATACGCTCTGCATTGTGGTAGATTTCTCTAGTTCTTCCTTGTAGTTCTTCCGTGTCAGACCTCAGTGAACATTTGTTCATCTCAACTCGGGGGTTTACAGCCAGCTACTCATGCATGGTAATTATCTAAAGGGGAAGCAGGGCTTTTTCATCAGCTGATACAGACACACGTCTTGTCTTTCAGTCCCACGTCTCTCTCTTGGACAGCTGATAGTGGAGGACGTGTTTTAACAGAGAGGGATGAGCGGAGGAGCTGAGAGTGGATCAGTCATCTTCCTCTTGTCTGCATTCATATTCATCACATTTATATCTGTATCACAGAGCCTGAGTCGCCATGAAGGCTTTTATTAGAAACACGGTTGACCAAAATACTATGAAAGTTTCACTTCCCCCTTTGTCTCTTTCTCTGCACCGTCACACCCTAACGCTCACCACAAACACCACCATTTCACTTTCTGCTAATTACTATTCAGTTTCCTTTTCTCTATAGAAAAAGATGTGCACCTGCACCCCTTCTGCTGTGATGAGTGTGATGGTGGTTTGTAGTTTCTCTTCCAGTCATTCGGGGTCAGGATGGCTGCAGAGTTACTTACGGTTCCTCTTGGATCTTCTGGATTAAACGGATCCACCTTGGAGATGCACTGCAGATACACCCCCCAGAACCAATGAGGGGTCACAGCAGACCAGAGGGCCTTCTGCTTTACCGACAGGCAGCACGGACACCTGGTGGACCTGAGAACGGACCCGGGACACGCAGAGGACAGTTAGCTTAGCATACCGCTGCTCTCTGAGGATCAAGCGGCCTAAGAGGCGGCGACTCGGCTGTGTACAGGTGTGCTGTGTTCATGTTCACCACAAACCAACCGGACAGGAAGTACACCGGCGAACCGGGGGTCCGTCTGTCAGTCACAGGTAACGGATCCAAGCGCTCAACACTTGGGAAGCTGCTGGTGTCTCTGAAGGGATTCTTGGTTCATGATTTTACAAATGCAGGTGGAGATCAGCAGATCAATGCCTTTGTCACGAAGCGGGTGCAGGCAGAGGCAGGACTCAAACGCAGAGTTTTGGGAACAACAAAAAGACTTTAATGGTCAAAATTCCAAAATTAAAAACCGCCAAGGGGCTAAAAAAACGCAGGTGGGGACCAGGTACGAAGCACCAAAGGATCCACAAACATGCAGACACCAAGGCGACAGGAGACGCACAGGGCTTAAATACACTGGGAAGGTGCAGGTGATTGGACACAGGTGGAAACAATCACAGGACAAGGTAGGAAGTGAAGTTACCCGGGGACACGAGGGGCAGAAAACTACAAAATAAAACAGGAAACAACCCAAACCGTGACGACCTTGTTATGGAAAGTGTACATCAGCAGACCTGACGAGTCAGAGCAGTCGTCCTCGACCTCGTCCAACCTTCTACAGCTGGTACAAGAACGGAGACAAAGTGATGATGAAAGAAACAAAGATTTGGGGCTACTTTTATTCTTTTTCCAGGTCCTGCAACAAAGTGACGTCATCATTCCGTGGACATTTCTGACTTCTAGATATATCACATCTAAGTTCTGGTGCAGCCCTCTGCATGGTGGTCGTTGGAGGCATCTCGCTCAACCAAAGGACCTTCGTGAAGACTCCCAGGACGAAGGTCGCGTTGAGGTCCTTGATACCGAGAGAGGAAACACTGAGAATCAAAGACCTGAGAGAGAACGATTCAGCCGAGTAGCGTTTCATATTCACAGCATGGAGCTCTGAAGGGATCAGCGGTTTACCTGGAACCACTTTGACCGTCAAAGGTACGAAGAATAAAATCTATCAAATGCTCTGACAACATGTACCTTACTCACTAAGATACAGTAATAGCTGCATGCATGGCTTCATACCATGAATGTTCTGTGTTGAAACACATCACTGCTGCTGGATCTCACCTTTTCTTACTGAATGGTTCACAGATCCAGATGTGCAGGCGCAGGTTGATCTGGTCTCCTGGGGGTCCGAAGCTGATTTGCCACAGCAGCTGGGCTCCTCATGGCCGCCCGTCCTTCGATTGGTACCTCAACGGAACCACAAAGGTTGAGGGTGGATCGTCTCTTTCTTACGAAAGGATCCGTTGACGCTGCCGACAATTTCTCCTGCGCTTACCAGAGCCGCCGCTGCCCTGCAGTGTGTGAGTCCCTCCCCCCCTCATGACACGACCACAGCCGCCGGGATCCATGTGATGTCACTCACGCTGGCTGCTGAGGAGAAGGACGCGTCCATTGTGCAAGTGTTCCGGGGATGAAGATTGATGAACACACTAATAAATCTTGATACGTTTTTCTGTGAGTGCAGGTTGAATGGAAGAAGAAGACGTCTATTGTGCTACCGGCGCTACTTTTCTAATGTTAGTTAAAGTGTTACCCACCTTCGCATCCCCCACAATGTTCTATGGTACATTGTCAGTGTAATGCTGCTTATGCGTGAAGCAAAAACACGTGTGTGTGTTGTCAGCTTTAAAGAGATGATGTAAGTCACTCTTGTTTATTATGCACAACATTGATTCATCTCATTTACAGAATTTGCAGCATAATGTCAAGAAAAGAGAGACTCCAAAAGCAGGAGGACAGGGAAAATATCCTGGTCTGTTTTTGAAATGTATTTATTTATATTATTCATATTTTTAATTTCCTGAATAACTTTGGCAATGGTGCCCTTTTGTTTTGGGTTGAGCAATAAGAGAAATGGCTCAAAGGAGTGAAAAGAATGCGCTATTTAAACAGACTAACAGCATTTTACAGGCCGACTTGTTATCATGGCGGAAAACAAGAAGTAGACGTAGTTGTCAAATTCCAAATGTTTTATTTCAATTTATATCTCAGTCCTATTGTACGATTTGTATGTAATTGAAGAAACAGTGTAATCCATTAAAAAGAGACCTGCTACAATAAATAATGAGCTTTATAAGTGAATGTTCTACTTGTATCTCTTATTATGTTTAGTAACAGAATCATGAAATCAGACATTACAACTGATGATAATCTACTAAAATAAGTCCAATATTTCTGTCACCATTGTGATTTAGTGTGAGGGAAGCTGCCCAAACCGTCATGAATAAAATGTCAATGTGTGTGTGTGTGTGTGTGTGTGTGTGTGTGTGTGTGTGTGTGTGTGTGTGAGATGCTGATGAGGAACCACAAAGCGGACCAGAAGATGGGCAGGATGCATTCTCTCTGGTTTATTCAGGTTCTTTAGGAAGAGTTCTGTTTGAAATTACAAAATGCACTGGTAGAAACAGATAGAGAAAGAAACAGAGCGAGAGAAGGAGATGGTGGGAGAGAGAGAGAGAGAAAGGAGGGTTTCATATCCAGAATAAACAGGAATAACATCACCAGATTCAGATTCAGGCAGCGCTTTACTCTCAAAGGGGGAGTTTTTCAGCGAGGAAAAACCTCCTCCTCCTCCCCCCTTTTTAAAATCATTTTTTAAACTTTTTTAATGTTAGTTAAAGTGTTATCCACCTTCGCATCCCCCCCACAATGTTTAAGCCCCGTGAAATAACTGGCGATATAACAAACAAACATTCTTTGATTTCATCACCAAAGTCATTTCCATTTATTTATTCTTTTATCAGGGCGATTTTTTTTCTTTTTTTGTTTTTAAAAATAGAAGAAATAAAGAAACACATTGCTCTTAAAAACATCTATCTATATATATTTTTACATATATATACTTTTTTCTTTATATTTATTTATTTTTTTGATTCCTGAAGTTGACTTGTTACCCCACATAGTGGCATGCACATTGCACATGCAAATCTGTAATTAAATACTTCTCTTTTATCTTAAATTGCCGTGTATGTTTATTCTTTTATGCCCCGACTTGCTGAGTGGATCCTGTATGGTTTTCTACTGTGGCACTGGTTCGGTTTCTACTGGGTCGGATGGTCGGCATGGCGATGAGATGGATGCTTGGTGGTTGCTTCGGAGAGTTTCCCAATACATCTCGTTACAGTCAAGATAAGATTACAGTTTATTGTTGTTGTACTTTTACACAATGGTGTTTAACCCTTCGCACCACTCGATGCTTGATTATATATTTACTCTTTAAACATGGTTCAAGAGGGAAACGTCTGATCTGCAGCCGTTTACAGGTTTTAATCTATGTAGTTTGACACCTCAATCGTGGCTTCTATCAAACGATACTTTACCAAATATGTTTTTCCGATGAAGGGTTGAACGGTTAATTTTGTCCTTTGCAAACCCAAACCAATCAGGCACAAAGGCTGAATGAATAAAACAAGTCCGTTTCTCAAGGACCCAAAACACAACAAGCGCTCAGATGGTCTGAGAACGATCAAATAGTGAGAGGACGACCTCCCGCGTCCAGATCTCCTGGAAGCAACCTGTCTACTGGATGTGATGGGAATGGAAACACGTGGAGACGAGAGAGAGAGGGGGGGGGGGGGGGAGAGGGGGTTGGCTCCCTGGGGGTTGCTACGGCGACAGCCGGGGACACTTTTACCTGCGGCACTGAGAATTTCATTCACTGTAAAACGGCATCGAGTCCGGTGAGTGATTAAGGTACGAAGGTCCAGGTGACGTGCACAAAAATGAATGAGCCACGGCGGCATCGTGGAAGTGCCGAGCAAGCGTTTAACTTGATCCATGAGCATCACGCTGTGTTACGTTTTCTCCCCACGGAAAGGGCAACCCGGCATGCATAGGACTTTACTCAAGATTCCTCATTTGTTTGTTTATTTCTTAAAAAGGGGAACCAGGTAAAAAACCTGGAATAATAAGAAATGCAATGCTTCAATTTCCATGTGCACACCAACACAGCTCCCCAGTTCTTTATCTTAATAACATTCAAAAATACAAATACACATTATTAATATACTATAATCCACCATCATCAGTTTTGTTATTTGCATGTACACATTCAAACATTATGCACCACATTCACAATGCATGCAGTCTTTCCTTAGCAGGAAACTACAACTCCCAAAATGCCCCACGGCAAACCAGGAAGTACCTACGTCACATACCAGTCCGTGTTTTATACTTTAAACATATAAGCCAAAGAAAGTAAACACAGCAGCAACATATTAAGGTGACATCAGACAACATGAAGCGTACGTTATAAAGGAGACGAGACAACATTGGAAATTAAGAGAGCTTACCAAGTGGCTGCACACCGGGTTGGAAGTCGTTACCAACTAAGTGAATCGCGCTTCCTTTTCACTCAGTAAACACTGGTCACGTGACCTCACAGCACACTCCTCTCTTAAAGGGACACTACACTATTGCCCTGCTACCTCAAAGTTTCTCAATATAATACTGGCATTTATATGTATAGCTCTGGCAGGTAAACATTTGATCACACATGTAAATCCGAAATAACAAAACGTCATGAATTAAAAACTCCACAGAAAACACAACACGCTGTATTGAAGAAGAATTGGAATTAGAAGCTGAGACCATAAACTCATGTTTACAATGTTTACTGATGGAATAAATCAAGAGAGAAGTGGAGTCATTTCCTCATAGACGTCTATGGGAGCAGAGGAGTCGCCCCCTGCTGGTCACTACAGAGAAGTAGAGTCATTTCCTCATAGACGTCTATGGGAGCAGAGGAGTCGCCCCCTGCTGGTCACTACAGAGAAGTAGAGTCATTTCCTCATAGACGTCTATGGGAGCAGAGGAGTCGCCCCCTGCTGGTCACTGCGGATAATGAAAAATTAAGATATTGTCAGGACTTGTCAGGACTGATGGGTGCATCAGTTTGGTTTGTCCTCTCTGGGCTACTGTAGCAAAGAGGACACACTCTCTATTCAGGCTCGTGTCCACAACATACCAGTGAAAAGAATTGTGTGGATAAATTCATCAATTATTGTGCAACAATCATCTTTCTCCTCAAATGATCCGCCGGACTCGTCAGACAACACAGACAAACACAAAGACTCAGACAGATGTTCACAGACAACACCCCCACATGTGTGAGCACGAACACACACACACACCGTTTATGATGACAGCTCATTCACACCCCCTTGTGTCTGTGGATGGTATCACACGAGGAATGGAAGAAAATCAGATGAACACAATGAGTTTTTACAGAAAGTTTATGGATTATATACACAAGAAGTACTGAGCCAAAATGTACAATACAGTGGGAGAGAATGGGTGAGAGAAATGAAACTACCACCCTGATGAGCGGTTGGAGGGA